ATTATCAATATTTCATAATTGCTGAATACTGTAAATAACCATAGGCTTATTTTAGGAAATTAAGAGTTATTAAGTCAAACCCCATTCAAAGTTTCCTCAACTTCACCACCCTACCATAAAGCCAACAATGTTTTGTCCCCTGTTAATCAACTCAGAAGGGAGGGGGACTCCCTCGACCGTTATTTTGGAACAGACCAAAAGGCAGGGGAGACCAGAAGTCACCATTAGCTTAATTTTGAAAAGCAAACCATTTTCACCTCTCTTTTAACATTTTTATTTAATTATTAAAAACTGTAAATAACCATAGGCTCATTTTAGAAACTAAAAGTTACTAAGTCAAATCCCCCACTCAAAACTTCCTCAACCCCATCATCCTGCCATAAAGCAAATAATGTCTTGTCCCCTGTCCCATCTTTTGAGAGCTAAACCTAGGGTATAAATTGAATTGATCACCTACTTTAGGGAGACTGGGCTGAACCTGATGTTTTTTGTTTTTGTTTTGTATTTGTTTTGCTCAAGGCTGGCGTTGTACTACTTGAGCCACAGCTCCCTTTCTGGCTTTTTGGTGATTACTTAGAGATGAGTCCCACAGACTTTCCTGACAGGTCTGGCTTCAAAGCCTCCATCCTCAAATATCAGCCTCCTGTTTAGGATTACAGGCATGAGCCACCAGTGCCTAGCTCATTCACCTACTTCTTATGATGAGAATTACAAGACTTTTACACTTAGAAGAGAGCCTTTTGACATTTAGCTATATCAAGTAGGAGAAAAGAATAGGAAGCTAGGTGCTGACATTTTAATGTTTTTTATTTCTTTAAAAATGTATCAGTAGCTGGATGCTGGTGGCTTATGCCTATAATCCTAGCTACTCAGGAGGCAGAGATTTGAGGATCACAGTTCAAAGCCAGCCTGGGCAGGAAAGTCTGTGAAACTATTGGCTTCAATAAACCACCACAAAACCAGAAGTGGCTCTGTGGCTTAAGTGGTAGAGCACTCACCTTGAGCTGAAGAGCTCAGGGACAGTGCCCAGGCTGGTAGTTCAAGCCCCATGACTGACAAAAACAACAAAAAAATATTAGGAAGGTGTTGGGAAAGTGAAGAAAGAAATGGATAAAAGACAGTAATACATGGATTTTTCCTGTCTGAAATAGTTATTTCAAAGAGAATAGAAACTGGATGTTGGTGGTTCATACCTGTAATCCTAGCTACTCAAAAGGCTTAAATCTGAGGATTGTGGTTTGTAGCCATCCAAGATAATCCCACTTAATCATCAAGAAGCTTAAAGTGGAGCTGTGGCTCCAGTAGTACAGTTCTGGCTTTGAGCAGAAAAAGCCAAATGAGAGGACCTGAGTTCAAGGCCCAGTATAGGCATGCGCGCGTGCGTGCACGCACACGCGTGCGCGCACACACACACACACACATACACACGGATGAATAGAAGTTGGGTACTAGTGACTCATGCCTGTATTCCCAGCTGCTTAAGAGAATGAGACCTGGAATAACTGGAGCCTAAAAGTCTACAAGATTCCATCTCCAATTAGTCAGCAAAAAGTAGGGCTGGTGGTGTAACTCAGTTGGCAAAGCCTAGCCTAACAAAGCAAGACTAGCAGATATAAGGACTATGAATTCAAAGCCTCCATACCAGCAACAGAGGGAGGGAGAGAACAAACACCAGTTCATAATCCAAAGGTGAAAAAGAGGGAGGAAATAAAGTTGTGTCTCTTCCTGTACAGTTCTTAAACTTTTTGGTTTGCAGAACCTATCAATGAGCGGGTAAAAGCACTTTACCTCCAAAAACTGTACACAAACCTACAAGCTTGCATTAAGATTTTAGTATTTGTTTAAAACTTAGGTCTTAAGGAAAGGCACAGCTTCCCTTCCTCTTGATAAGAACATTAAAATAAGCCATCCAAAAGAATATTTACAACGTAAATACGAAGCATTGTGGAAAGTGAAATCATTACAGATAAAATGATATACCTGAAATTAAATGCAAAAGAATACAATGTGTCTAGAAGTTCTCACCTATAATTCTAGCTACTTGGGATATGAAAATCAGGAATATTATGGGTAGAGGCTAGCTCAGACAAAAACTTTGTAAGACCCCGTCTCAACCAATAAATAACTGGCAAGATGGTATGCCTGTCATCCCAGCTACCTGGAAGTGTAAATAGGAAGATCACAGTCCACGCTGCCAGGAAAAAGTGAGACTCTACTCAAGAAATAATAAAAATGGTGCTGGTGGCTCACACCTCTAATGCTAGCTACTCAGGAGGCTGAGATCTGAGGATCGCAGTTCAAAGCCAACCAGTGCAGGAAAGTCCATGAAACGCTTTTCTCCAGTAAACCACTAGAAAATTGGAAGTGGTGCTGTGGCTTAAGAGGTAGAGCAGTGCTGAGGGATAGCACCCAGGCCTAGAGTTCAAGCCCCAAGAACAACCAACAAAAGAAGAAAAAAGAAATAAGAAAAGCAAAAAGAGCTAGCTAGCGTAATGCTAGATCAGCTGCTTCACATACTTAAGGCCCTGAGTTCAAACCCCAGGACCACCAATTAACAAAAAGAATGTATTATTTAAGCTCAATATAGTAGTGTTTGTGTGTGATCCCAGAACTCCACAGGCTAAGACAGAAGAATCTAGAGTTTGAGGCCAGCTTAGGCCTCATAGTGAAACATCATCTCAAAAGAAAAGTACATTTAGTGTGTTAGCTAGTGTGAGGGGAAAGGACAATATTGATGAAACAAGATTATGATTTGATAGTTGTTGTAGGTAGGTTCACTGTACTATATTTGCTTTTTTTGAGTTCTAATCCTTTGTTTCATTTTCAGATACTCTCTTAACTTACTGGAATAAAGTATCTCCTCAGGAGCTCATAAACATTCTCATACTTCTAGAGTAAGTTATGCCTATTTATTTTCATAAATCTTCCCCTTATTTGGGGACAGTTTAGATATTCCCATTTTTCTGCCTTCAATAGCTTATTTTCTTAAAATGTTGAGAATGTTAAGCTATTTTGGTAATATCAAGACAAGCATTTTCCAGCCATAGCTTAAAGAAAAATATAAAGATGGAACATTTGTGATATTGTAGAAATCTATACCTAATAATAGACCTTCTTTAGAGCCCATTGGGAATCTTTCTAAAAGTGATCTGGGAAATTAGAAGTGGTAGCAGTTATCCTACATCATTCATTTGGAGCAAATGGGCAGCTTCAGTAATTGGAACTTAAAACATGTTTAGAGCTGAGTAAAATCCTACTTACTTCAGTACTGGAGATCTGGATAATCTAGACCCTTCTAGGAGCTAGAGGTGTACCTAAATATTTTTCCATATATTCACATATTTTTTTAAGATACTTGAGAGGGAAAAATGCTAGTGTAGAGATGGGAAGCTGGTCTATATTGTATGCTAAGCTACTTTTACATCACTATTAAAAGCTAGAAGAAAAAATAAGCATAGAATGAAAAACAGGAAAATTTTTACATAAGAAACATACATATAATTTTATTTATGTACAAAGTATGAGAGGCTGGCCATAACTATTTGATTAAAGTTTGTAATTTACAGAGAGTGTCAGTTCACTAAATAGTAGTCAAGTTTTTTGTTTGTTTGTTTTGTTGGTTGTGGTGCCTGAACTCTGGGCCTGGGCACTGTCCCTCAGCTCTTCAGCTCAAGGCTAGCGCTCTACCACTTGAACCACAGTGCCACTTCTGGCTTTTTCTGCTTATGTGGTACTGAGGAATCGAACCCAGGGCCTCATGCATGCAAGGCAAGCACTCTACCACTGAGCCACCCTCCCAGCCCAGTAGTCAAGTTTTTTAAACATTAATTATACTGTGAAATATATGCTAATGAAAATATTTAGTGTTGGGGATTTGCTTCAAAAAAAAACGTAGGGAAGGTGAAATTAGAGGGCCTATTCAGGACAAAGATTTAGGGCAAAATAGTGTAATTATTGAATCTACAGAGTAATGGGTGTATAAGAATTTATGCCTTCCTTCCTACCTTCATATGAATTGGATAGGTTTAATAATAGAAACTATTTTAAGACCATTGTTGTTGTTTTTTCTTTTTTTCTTTTTCATTGGTCAGTAGTTGGGCTTGAACTCCAGGCCTGCACACTGTCCCTGAGCTTTTTTTTGCTCAAGGCTAGTGCTCTACCAGTTTGAGCCACAGCTCCACTTCTGTTTTTGGTGATTTCTTGGAGATAAAATCTCATGGCCTTTCATTCCTGAGCTGGCTTCAAACTGCGATCCTTAGATCTCATTTTCCTGACTAGCTAGGATGACAAACATGAGGCACCAGTGCCTGGCTTAAGACCATTCTTTAAAATACTATAGCATTTGTCCTGTTTCTAGGCTTAAGAATGCTTTTTAGTATTGATAACTATTCTCCTGAGCACAAATAATCTATATTGCCAGAATTTTTAACCTGTCATTAGCATAGTATATAAAGACCTTTTGTGTGTAGTAAAGCAATTGTAGCTAATATTTGCACAAACATAGAGGTGGCAAGCCAGTAAGTAATTATTGCTTGTTTATTTCTGTAGAAATAAATGTTATTTTAATATTATTTTGGTGGTACTGGGGCTTGTTATTGTAATATTGTTTGAGTAGATTATTCATCCTGAGTATTGCTTGTTAAATTCTAGCAGATGATAATGTATTGCTAACATGCTATTTTTTTTCTTTCTAGAGTATGTTTGTTTCATTTTAGATATATGGGAAAAAGAAATATAGCAAGGTAATTCCCACTGTACTTTTCCATTTTTCCTCCTCTTCCAGCATGTGAAATCCAGATTATTCATTTTAGGTTAACATTAAGACACCTATGATTTATCTAATGTGCCCCAACTCAAAAAACTAATATGAGCTGCCAATTTTTGTAACTTTTCAAATGAGTAATGACTACAGTGAGATGAAGAGTTTTTACCTTATGAAATCTATGAAATAATAGAACAGATGCTTATCTTTCCTGAGGGATTTGAAAAGGAGTTAGGTACAAGGGAAGACAGAAAAATCATGAATTAAGAATAACTGGAAGCTGTGTAATTTTGTCTATAGTCTTAGTACTCACCTCAATTACTAGGACAATAGAAACTCTCCAAAACTCTCCAAAAAATTAGGACATACATGATATATTATCTCTACATTGTATATGATCGTTTCACCTTTTTTTTTTTTTTTGGTCGGCCGTGGGGCTTGAACTCTGGGCCTGGGTGCTGTCCCTCAGCTCTTCAGCTCAAGGCGAGTGCTCTACCACTTGAGCTACAGCGCCACTTCCAGTCGTTTCACCTTTTAAGCCTAGTGAAATATTTGAGAAAAATGTGTAAGGGGGCCCTAAAGCAAAGAAAGTTACTTACTTTAATAGTACATATTTTAGTGGTATCAATATTTATTAAAGGAAGTCAAATACAATTATTTGTTTTTTACAAAAAGTTCTGGGCTGGGAATGTGGCTTAGGTGTAGAGTGCTTGCCTTGCATGCATGAAGCCCCGGGTTCCTCAGTACCACATAACCAGAAAAAGCTGGAAGTTGCACTGTGGCTCAAGTGGTAGAGTGCTGGCCTTGAGCAAAAGGAGCTCAGGGACAGTGCCCAAGCCCTGAGTTCAAACCCTAGGACTGGGGGGAAAAAAGTTAAATTCCATAGCGTATTCAAACACTGAAGAGACCATAGAGTGGGGTTTATTCTTGCATCTCTGGAACTTCCTAATAGTTCAAGTGGTGAGAGCTCCAATTGCCATCATGATTTTCCAGGATAGGTGATGGTATAGTAATCGTTACCATGTTTATTCAAGAACAGACAAATTTCGCCAGGTGCTAATGGCTCGTACCTGTAATCCTAGCTACTCAGGAAGCTAAAATTCAGATGTTCACAGTTTGAGGGCAGTCCAGGCAGAAAATTCTGTCAGACTCCATTTCCAAAATATTTGGCAAAAAGTCATGCTGGTGGTGTAGCTCAAAAATACTAGCCAAGGAAGTAGGAGGCCTTACGTTTAAACCCTGGTACCCACAGAAACAAACACAACAGGCGATGTTTCTCTTCTTTAGTTTACATTATCACCCAGTTGTAATTTTTAAATGGAGCCTCTTAAAACTGAAAGAAAACAAAAATTCACAGATCTCAGCAATAGACGGTTTTGTGTGTGTGTGTGTGTGTGTGTGTGTGTCTGTGTGTGTGTGTGTGTATGTGTCTGTGTGTCTGTGTCTGTGTGTGTGTGTGTGTGTGTGTGTGTACTATGGCTTAAACTCAAGTCCTCATGCTCCCACTTGGCTTTTTGTACTTAAGTCTGGAGCTCTACCACTTGAGCCACACAGCTCCACTTCTGGCTTTTTGGTGGTTAATTGGCAATAAGAAGAATGCCATGGTCTTTTTCTGCCTAAACTGACATTGAACTGCAATCCTCAGATCCCAACCTCCTGAATAACTAGGATTACAGGCATTAACCATCAGCTAAAATTTCCGTTTTAAATTTACCTCAGATCCAGAAAGAGATTGCATTGATACCCATTCTTGAAAGTCTGATTCCAGAGTTCTTTTCAAGGCTTCTTCCACCCTTAGTATCACTTTCACTGTCTTCTCTGACTCTTTTCCTTACCACCAGCAAAAAGACAATCTTTTTGTAGTGTTGTCTACTTACCCCCAGTGCTTTCAAGGAGGACAGAAAGGGGAAGGTCTTTCTAAATCCCTTGATTACATTCTTACAAGCTATTTTATGTATTTGTTAAAAATTCACACATGTTCCAGTGAAGCCTTCTTTAATCCAAGTAATACATGATAGAATATTGAGTATAGAACCATGCTTATATGGACAACTTGTTCTGTTTTAGTTTAAAAGAATCTAACAATGAGATACATTATTAGCACACTCTAGTTCCTAATTAATTTTTGTTTTTTTAGACTTCATGATGCCTGGCTGTCCAAGCATTTTGGAATAGACCGAAAATCACAAACCATGCCAGCTCTTCGAAACAGATCAGGAGTAATGCAGGCCCGTCTTCAGCATCTTAGTAGTTTAGAAAGTTCCTTTACACTTAATCACAGTAAGTGAAAATGTGGAGGGTATGTATATGAAATAGACATGTGATGCTATTTAACCTGAAGTACTGGTTTAAGTCATCTTATGATTAGAAAAAAATTCTCATGCATCAATGTATATGCATGCCTCAGCTATGCATTTACATGCAATTGTTTTATTATAGTCTGACTATTGATAAAATATGCATGGAGTTTTCAGTTTTCAGTAATAATTATTTTAAGTTTTTCTTAGTATAAAAAATTATTTTCCAAGCCGGGTGCCTGTGGCTCAAGTGGTAGAGTGCTCACCTTGAGCTGAAGAGTTGAGGGACAGCCTTCAGGCCCAAAGTTCAAGCCCCACAACCAACAACAAAAATGATTTTCCAAGCTGGGTGCCAGTGGCTCATGCCTGTAATCCTAGCTACTCAGGAGGCTGAGACCGAGGATCATGGTTCAAAGCCAGCCTGGGCAGGAAAGTCTGTGAGACTCTTATCTCCAATTAACCACCAGAAAACCAGAAGTGACATTATGGCTCAAGTGGTAGAGCATTAACCTTGAGCTGAAGAGCTCAGGGACAGTGCCCAGGCCCAGAATTCAAGCTCCACAACTGACATACATACATACATACATACATAAATGTACAAATCTACTTCCATTAGACCTAGGTAACTTCTGAATTAGAAATACATGGCATCTAACTGGCAACATTGTAAACATTTGACTGTAGGACACCATTGTATATATGATGGCTGTATTTCTGCAGCTTTCCCATTCTGCCCACATAATTAGTAACATAACATAAAATGCTTTCTACATTATTTTCCAGTTACATAACGATAGTTCATCATGGAAACCATATTGTCAATGAAGTAGGCACCTAATTTATGTCCAGCAGAGTTTTTGATAAAGGCTGATTTAAGAAAAAAATTAATGGAATTAATTAACCCCAGACCATGTTTGGTTAATGAGTCTAGAGAAACTGATTAGATCTCCTGCTTATATTAGGAGCCTCCTTTCATCTTACTTGTCTCACTGAGTCTTTAGGAAGAAAGTCATTCAACACTGTTTTGGGCAAAGTTTAATTTACTTTTTTAAATCCTAGGTTCTACAACAACTGAAGCAGACATCTTCCACCAGGCACTTCTTGAAGGCAATACAGCCACTGAAGTTTCCCTAACGGTGCTAGATACCATATCCTTTTTCACTCAGTGTTTCAAGGTAAAGATGTAGAGTTAGTATTCAGCTGGTATCATTACAAAGAAACAGTTTCACCATACGTGAATCGTCAGAGGCAGGGTAGAGTAGTGGAAAAAGGCTGGCCTGAGCAGTGAGGAAACATGGATAGCAGGTGTTAGGCTATAGGTATTGAACCTAGAGCCTTATGTGTGCTAAGCACATACTCTCTACCAAGTTAGCCTTCCTTTGCATTGTGAAGGTTGGGAATGAGAAAGGGAAGTAACTACAAATGAGCATGAGTATTCTTTTTAAAATCATGAAAATAGTCTAGCATTACATTGTGATGGTTGTTCAATTCTGTTGCCTACACTTAAGTAGATAACTGAATTGTGTGATTAAAATTCGTGAATTTTGTAATACATAAATTATATCTCAATATACTTAAAATTACAAATATGAATTTTTTGCTGAATCAAGGGCTTGGAACTCAGGACTTTTTGCTCAAATGCTACCACTTGAGCCCTTCTGGATTTTTCTGAGTGATTTATTAGAGATAAGAGTTTCATGGACTTTACTGCCTGGGCTGGCTTTGAACCATGATCCTCAGATCTCAGCCTCTTGAGTAGCTAGGATTACAGGTTTGAACCACCAGTACCAAGCTGAATTCACTTTTAATCTCATAATGGCCTTAAAATATAGAATATTATTTTCCCTATTTTAAAATGAAGAAACTGAGGCTCACAGAGGTGGTAGCGGTTAATGTCACATAGTCATTGACAGAATCTGGATTCAGAACTAGATCAATTATCACAAGTGTCCATGATTCTAAGATTGATGTAACCATTAGATCTATCACAGCGTTGCCTATTGTTTTGGTTTGGGGGCAGTGCTACTGTTTGGAGCCAAGAAGTAACTTACTGATTTCTTTGTTGGAAGGTAGGAGGACAGGCTAAAGAAGTTAGCCAATGCTGCTTTCAAAACGAAGTTTATAAACTAATAGATATTCCCATTCCATTTTTTGTTTCTCATTTCTCTTTTCAAGAGACATTTAAAAGTTTGCACAGCTTGTTAAATTGTGATAACTGTTAATAGTTCTACTCAATTTGTCACCAGTGTCAAAACATCTGATACTAAACACCCTTGAAAAGGGAAATTAGGTAATAAATTTTTTGAAAAGAATTTGTATATTCCTTGCTACATTATATAGCCTTCTCTCAGATACACAAAAACTGGTTACTCTATTTATTTTTAACAGAATTTTTCATTGAGAAGTCACATGATATAGGTTAATAGAATACTCTTGCTAACCAGGTTAGTGGTTCATAACTGTAATCCCCAAACACAGGAGGCTGAGACAGGAGGATCTCTAGTTCAAAGCTAGCCTGAGCAACATAGTAAGACCTTGTCTCAAAAAGTATTGAAGGAAAGAGAAGGGAAGTAGTTTATATAGTATATTTTGAGTTTCAAGTTGAAAGATTATATAAGGGTTTTAAATTAAATTTGAGCATTTTCACTTTTCCAAAACTTCCAAACAGTTGTTTCACTAGAAGTCAGTTCTCTTATTCGTGGTGAGGCATAACTATTTCTACAAACTATTGCTTTCCTGTTTTACAGAACCAACTTTTAAATAATGACGGCCACAACCCATTAATGAAAAAAGTATTTGATATTCATCTTGCTTTTCTTAAAAACGGACAATCTGAAGTGTCACTAAAGCATGTATTTGCCTCACTAAGAGCTTTCATCAGTAAGGTAAGGGCAGCTTTAAGAGCTGCCTCGTGGCTCTTGTTCACAGCAAATATGGAAGAGGGGGGAGAAGTTGGTTATGATGATGTATACAAACCTCAGCTAATGAAGCCATTAACTATTGCCTTTGTAAATTCAAGCAGAGAACAATATAATGTATACAGAGGACCTGGCCAAGAATTCCATAAAATCAGAACCTGTTTTCTTATTTCACCTTTTATGCCTTTCCTTTTTCAGAAGGCTTCTTTCAACAGTGTCGTCTGCTTTTTCCCTTGTCTCTTTTAATGTGTGTGTAATACTAGAGGTTAAATTTATGATGTTGAGCGTACTCCCTACCAAATATCATTTTCACACTATGTACCAATTTTACCAATTTTTCTTTTATCTGGCATTAGAATAATCTTACCTAGCACTTGCAACAGAAACCAACTTTTATAGCCCCAAGTTCGTCTATAACACTTACCTTGCAGATGGTAGGTATTCATTAAGTTTTGAATGAATGAATGATTCTTTCCTTTCAGTGCTAATTGTATCTGAAATTAAAAAATAATGAATTCAAGGCTTTTAAAACATTTTTTTCATATAATTTATGAATAAATTTATGGAAAACTGAGTTCAACAGAAGCATGTTATAAGAAACTAAGGAAGCCATGCAGGTGGCTCAAGGCTGAATTCTTAGCCCATTAGGAGGCAGAGATTGGAAGACTGCAGTTTGAAGTCAGCCCAAGTGAAAAAAAAGGTTGTAAGACTCCATTTCAGCCAGTGCCTGGGCATGATGATGTGCACCTATTATACCAGATGGAATCACAGTATCTTGGCCCAGTGACATGCCTGTCATCCCCAATAACACAGAGAAGCATAAGCAAGAGGATCACAGCCCAGGCTAGCCTACTTCAAAAACACCCTGGTAGATTGCCTGTTGAGCGAGTACAAGGCCCTGAATTCAATCCCCCTCCCAAATAGATGCAAGGCCCTGAATTCACGCCTCCTCCCAAACAGAAACTATAGAGACAAATGAGAAATCAATCATTCAACAGCTATTAGATGTTACATACTAGATAAAGCTTGTTGTCTGGTAGAGGCAAACACATACATAAAGATACATGTGTAAGGGCTGGGAAGGTGGCTCAGTGGTAGAGCGGTTGCCTTGCATGCTCGAGGCCCTGGGTTCGATTCCTCAGCATCACATAAGCAAAAAGAAAAAAGCTAGAAGTGGCACTGTGGCTCAAGTGGTAGAATACTAGCCTTGAGCTGAAGAGCTGAGGGACAGTGCCCAGGCCCAGAGTTCAAGCCCCACGACTGGACCCCCCTCCCAAAAAAAAGATACATGTGTATCTCCATCAGGATCAAAGTTTTCACAGAACTGGGGTGAGTAGCAGGAGAAAGAAGAAAAATGCTCCAATTTAGCAAAAGTTTCCCTTTACCAGTGTAGCTAGGATTTCTTATGGATCTAGTAAAAGAAACAAAATCGCAAGGAAGAAATAGCTTAGTGTGCTACTCTTAAGGACTAGACTTCATCTTTTAGCCATGATTGCAGCTGTGAAGAGGTTTTAAGCAGGGAATTGTCATAGATTTGTATTAAGAGGGAATTGGTATAAGGAGGGGAAAAAGTGATATGGAAGATAAATAGCTGGAACATAGGCATAGATGTTGTAGTTGAACTCATCACAGTTGTGTAATCTTCCCTGGAGAGTATGTAGGGGAAGAATACAAAACAATGGGAGTAGAACACTGTGGGAAAACAGCAGCACAAAACAGGTTGGAAAAGAAATCTGTAATGGAGGCAAGGGGGAGCATTCATGTGGAAGCCAAACTAGATAAGAGTGTTCAATATTGGCTTGAGATACAGGGAGATCAAATAAGATAGGAAGAAAAAAAGTAGGCTGTCTTTCTCTGTCTCAGGTGAGGCAGCCATCTTGCTCTTGCCGTGTGCTGGTGTTGGAGGACCCTCCCTGTTTCAGATTTATCAACAGCATGAATCAAGAAAAGTTAGCCAAACTTCAGGCTCAGGTCCAGATAGGGGGCAAAGGTACAGCTCACAGGAAGAAGAAGATGGTACATAGGACAGCTACAGCTGATGACAAAAAGCTTCAGAGTTCTCTAAAAAAAAAAACTGGCTGTGAATAATATAGCTGGTATTGAAGAGTTGAACATGATTAAAGATGATGGGACAGTTATTCATTTCAACAACCCCAAAGTCCAAGCTTCCCTGTCTGCTAACACCTTTTCATTTACTGGTCATGCAGAAGCTAAACCAATCACAGAAATACTTCCTGGAATATTAAGTCAGGTCAGGGCTGACAGCTTAACAAATCTCAGAAAGTTAGCATAACAGTTCCCACGGCAAGTGTTGAATAGCAAAGCACCAAAACCAGAAGACATCAATGAAGAGGATGATGATGTTCCAGATCTTGTAGAAAATTTTGATGAAGCATCAAAGAATGAAGCAAACTAAATCTTTTCTGGTTTTTGGAAGCTGGCATGGACTAGATTTAACAAATCAGCTATATGGTTCCAAAGTTTCACAGACATGGAGAACATCACATTACTAGTACAGTAGTATAAATATTTTGTATGTTAACAATGCTGTTTATTCAGCATTTTTTGGTCATTTGATTTTGCATTTTGCACTTCCAGGATCTATACTTTTAGTCAAAATATGAAGTAGTGGTGCAGTTTGAGAGTGTTTTGGTTTTAGATTTTTCTTTTTTGCGGGGGGTTATCTTTGGTGTATGTATGTATATGTATGTGAGTGGTATGTCTGTTCACAGTGGAGAGCAAATTGGAAGACAGTTCTATTTATCCTCTCCTTCCCTAGTAAAAATAAAACAAATCTTTCCATTTGTTACCCTTTTTCCCCAATAATGCACAGAATTAATGAAAAATGAGTATTTTACTTCAGATCTAAAGAGTTTTGTTTTTTTATATCATTGGAGGTCTGGTTTTAATTTACTTGATTAACTATCATAGTTTTCATGTATTTTTCTAGGTTTAAAATATCTTGAGACATTTTGCTATCCCTTGTAGATGAACTGTAACAAGTTGGGTATCTTTGGTGTGATTGCCTTAGGTTCACTCTACCTATTCAGACCCAGAAGAACTTGTTTTACTACCTTTCTTCCTGATAGGCTATTTCCCCTCTCCTTTTGGTCTTTAAATAGCCTGATCAGGCTTTGGTAATTAATATTCTTCCTCACCTTCTGCCTAGCCTGAGAGGAATGTTCTCCATTCAGAGTTAAGTGAGTGCCTAGTACCTCTTTTTGTAAGATTTTTGTTCCCTTATCTTGAGGAACAGCAACTCCATCTTCAGATTTTTATTTCTCCTCAATGTTACCATTTGGTAGACTTCAAACTAAAATAGCATGTGCTTTCTTCTTCTTTTTTTTTTTTTAGCATGTGCTTGCTATAAAACATTTATGCCAGCCATATCCTGTATCCTAGCTGTCCTTAGGAGCAGGTGCAAGAATGCCTCTTTTCTGGCAAAGCTGACATTTGGAATGTCCTTTTTAATGAGAAAAAAATAAGCCATAGACTCATCCTCTAGCACAAACGGGCATTCCATGACATGGTACTGGCCTCGAGAGGATTCCTTCATCACTCCTACTCTTGGCCTTGAACCTACCTCTGGGTTAGATCTTATTATTGTAACTGCTCACAACACCCTCGCATGCTTATAACAAGGCTTTGAGGGGGGAGCACTATAAAACACAGTATTTATTTATTTTTTCACTTTTTAGAGGTCTTGGAGATAAGTTGCATTCATTCACTCAAGTTTCCTTCTTGCTGTCTGCTAAAAGCTTGCATTTTGCATGTCAGCATTAATTATATACAATATTTTAGGATAAGATTTAGAAAATCTATAATTTTTCTGGCCCATCACTATATTAACTGCAGCTTAACTTTACAGCATTCCAGCTTTTATTTCAAGGTAGATATCTTTACTTGATACCTTATAGCATTCCAACTTTTGTTTCAAGGTAGATACCTTTTCTTGATATTTAAAGTTCAAAACAACATGAGAAATCTGTAGACATTAAGGAATAGTTCTTGTGGAGGTTTTTTTTTTCTTTTTTCATCCAAACACCTCAAATTCTATTTTATAAATTTGTTGATTTTCCTGTTATGTTTTATTTAATATATGGACTTAATAAAATATCAGTAATAAAATAACAGTGCTAAGGAGAAAAAAAAAAGAAAAGTCCATTAGAACAGGGGTCTGTGGCTCATTCCTATAATCCTACCTACTCAGGAGGCTGAGATCTGAGGTTTATAGTTCAGAGCCAGCCCAAGCAGACAAGTCCGTGAAAGTCTTGAACTAACCACCAAAAAGCTAAAAGTAAAGCTGTGCCTAAGTGATAGTGCTAGCCTTTAGCAAAAATGTTAAGGGATAGTACTGAGACCCTGACGTCAGCCCCAGTACTGACACCCCCCCCCAAAAAAAAAGAAAAGAAAATACATATGCACACGCACATGCATACAAAACCCTGGCAACTAGGTCACTGACAATTTTGGTCATTGCTCATGAAAATAAGTTGTGTGAGAGGACTTGTTGAAGGATTACCTATACTATAGCTATGTTGTCTCTTAAAAGTTTCTCTCTACATGTCTTGTCCTGCAAGAGTTAGTAGGTTCCTGTAAGTATGGATTTAAATTCAAAGTTCCCAAGAAATTATTTTGAATAGGTGGCCCACTAACTTCAGTTAAGACACTGTATTCAGAAGCAGCTTGCCTAGACCTGTAATCACAGGAGATGGGAATATGTATAGTTTATTTTCCATGAAGCAGCAGGCTGAATATATTTTTGAAGTAACAGGAAACGATGGTTTTGAAAATTGGGTAGCCATTTATATATCTTAATTAACACTGTTCATGAGTAGAGTACACATGTGTGAGAATACTTGATGAACTATATTTATTTTATAAGATCAATTTCACCTGCTCAATAGATTTCAGCCATAATTTTCTTAGCACTAGGTGAATCATAATATAAGGGACTGTTTAAATATAAAGCCAAAAGTAATGCCAGTTTTCCTTCCCATTTTTTTTTGGGGGGGGGGTCTGGTTGTGGGGCCTGAACTCTGGGCCTGGGCGCTGTCCCTCAGCTCTTCAGCTCAAGGCTAGCGCTCTACCACTTGAGCCACAGTGCCACTTCCGGCTTTTTTCTTTTTGCTTATGTGGTGCTGAGGAATTGAACCCAGGGCCTCAAGTATGCAAGGCAAGCGCTCTACCACTGAGCCACCTTCCTAGCCCCTGTCCTTCCCATTTTTAAGGCCCCATTTGAGAGACATCATTTCAGCGATTCATGTATTTAGTACTTATTGTTGAGAAAATACTTAAGCATATGTTTCAGATTATCTTGAGCTCGTCTCAGAGCTACAGCATTTATACTTCCTCCCTTTACATTGTTGCAGTAACCTGTGTATTGACTTGACTAGTTCTGCCATTGGAACATGGTGGTCTTTATGCTAAGTAGTTAAGGCTGTCTTGAGCCCTGAGCCCTGGACCCATGTTGATTTCTGTCATCAAAGCATCCAGCGTAGTTTTACGTGCAGGTATATAGGAGGCCCTTAATACACAATTGTTTTATGATTCAGTTTTCAGATACTTATTTCTGCTTTCCCTTGTTCTTTAGTTTCCCTCGGCTTTTTTCAAAGGAAGAGTGAACATGTGTGCAGCATTTTGCTATGAGGTTTTAAAGTGTTGTACCTCAAAGATTAGCTCAACCAGGAATGAAGCTTCTGCACTTCTGTATCTTTTGATGAGAAATAATTTTGAATATACCAAGAGGAAAACCTTTTTGAGGACACATCTGCAGGTCAGTGAAAATCAAAGCTCTTCTTCCTGCTCCTCTTCTTCAAGTCCTTAGCCACAATCAAGAGTAATGTATAAGGTTGCGAGCATGGCTCAAGTGATAGAGTGTCAGCCAGAAGCAAGTAAGCTGAGTTTGACACCCAAAGTTCAAATCTCAAGAATTTTGTCTAGTTGAAATGGAGATTATGCAGTAAGTGTGAAACAGACACTGGATTTCAAAGATTGTTATAAGAAAAAGAATATAAAAGAGGAATGCCTGAAACTCTTAGTTCATGTGCTTAACTCACATGAAATGTAGCTAATCCAAACTAAGATATGCTAAAAGTGTGAATTACTCATTAGCCATTGAAGACTAAGTACAAAGTAAAAAGTAAAATATCTTGATTTTAAAAATTGAATATATATTGCAATTATATATTGGGTTAGGTAAAATATATTAAAATAAATTCTCTCTGTGTCCATTTTTCTCCCTCCCTCCTTCTCTCTCCACCCCCCACTTCCCCTCTTATACACCTGCCAGGATTTTACTTTGTACCCCAAACTAGCCTCAAACTCATACTCTTCCTGCCTCTGCCTCCCAAGTGCTGAGAATATAGATGTGTATCACCATGCCTTACCTTCTATCTTTTAAAATGAAGGTACTAGACAATTGAAACTTACATATGTGACTCACATTCCTATTTTTGTTGTAAAAGTCTGCTCTAGAGCATATAAGTATTAAAAACACAGAGTCTAGTTCATAAGTTCCTCCCCAAGCTGCTCAGTTTCCCTAGTTTCTTCAGAGATAAACTATGGGGAGATATTAGGACCTAGCTCATAGCATTTGTAAAGAACAAATGAGATGACTAAATAATAAGCTTATTAGATATCACATAGCAGTTGATGCAGTTGATGTATTTCATACTATAGCAGACACACCTGTTTAAAAATGGAAAAAAAACTGAGCTAGGTGTGGTGGCACATATCTGTAGAACTACTTGGGAGGCTAAGGCAAGAGGATTGCTTAAGCCCACAAGTTTAGGACTCGTCTGAGCAGTATAACTAGAAAAAAATGTGGAAATCCTAAACTTAAGAGAGAGACTACTCTGTACTTCAGAGTTCAGTTACTTACTTGCTGTGTGCCCCTAGGCAAATTGTTCAGTATGGATGGACTAGATTCCTCATCTGTAAACTGAGATCAAGTGTAGTTCTCCTTGAATGGTTATTATGAGAGTAAAAAACAAAATATGTGGCTGGGTAGTTGCAGCACTTGAAAGGTGAAGGCAGGAAGATTACCAGTTTGAGGCCAGCCAGGCCTACATAATAAGATCCTGTCTCAAAAAAGAAAAGAATGAATGAATGAAATGTGTGGAGTGCCTAGCAAAATGCGTAGCTCAGAGTCAACATTTACTACATGATAATTATTCCACAGCTCCATATTGTGCTTACTTGATGGAACTGCTCTAAACACAAACACAATTAAGACATATTGGACAACTCAGTAAGCTTCTTGGTAATGCAGGGAATTCCTGGTTACATTTTTGTCTTTATTGCCCTAGTTTGTCCCATTGGAATTGATTATTGGAGATAGTTATAAATGGGGAAGCATTTATAAATGGTTTGTTGGAAAATAACAGCAGTAAAGTAAAAATCTAATCAGAATATATTCTCACTTTTAAAAAACATGCTATAGCCAGGCACCAGTGGCTCACGCCTAGCTACTCAGGAGTCGGAGATCTGAGAATTGCAGTTTGAGGCTAGCCCCAGCAGGAATGTCTATGAGACTAACCAGAACAAAAGAGAGAAAAGAAACAAAGAAAAGAAAAGAACATTGAAGTAGATTTAGAGCTGTGCCTCATGTAGAGCACTAGCTTTGAGCAAAAAAGCTTAAGAAGGGCCATATTGTCCAAAAAAGTATACTCATTACATGAATTATGAAACAGTAACTCCTCTCTACAGTACCTTTATAATAATAATTTTAAAATTTTAAAGCTCAGGGATGTTGCCCAAGCCCCAAATTCAAGCCTCAGGACTGCAACAAAATATATATAGATTTGCTTCAAACCATGATCCTCAGATCCCACTTGAGTAGTATTACAGGTGTGAGCAACCAGCACCTTGGCTCAGATCTTTTATTACATATTAAGTGTCACTTCAGTACCCACTCAATTCCAAAACATTGTTCTTATTAGTGTATCAGTATGCCTGAAGTTCCCTGTTGGATCCTTTCTTCTTGACGTGGATATCAATTCTCTCAAGACTTTACTCAAAAGTAAATGACTCAATGTGAAGGCTTGAAATAGTGTCTGGCCCATAAAAAGTACTCGATTTCTTAATGGAGTGCTAATGCTGGGCTCATACATATAACTCCAGATACTCAGAGGCCAAGGTCTGAGGACCATAGTTCCAAGCAGCCCAAGAAGAGAAATTTGAAACTCTTATCTCCAATTAAGCAGCAAAAAAAGAGAAATGAACACTCAAGTGTTAGAGTGGCAGCTGCAAGCATAAAAAGCCATCAGTTCTGAGTTCAAGCCTGCCCTAGTACCATCACAAAAAAAGTTAACTAATAATATTATGAGTGTGATATCATAACTGATTATCATAGCTCTACAAAGTAGAAATTGTTATCCCTATTTTACAAATGAGAAAATAGAAAAATAAGTAGATTTCCCAGAGCTACACAGTGGAAAATTGATAAAGCTAAAATCTGAATGTGAGACAGTTGGACTCTAGACCTTAACTCATAAGCTACTACTATTTCTCATGTCCCAGGATGAGTAGTTCCATTAACATCTCAGCATGAGTCATTTTGGCATTGATTCAAGTAGTCTGAGACATTTTAAAGCACCATTAAAGGCATTGCATTAATGGCTGTTAAACTAGTAGGCCTTGATCAAACACAGAGTGCTGAGACACTGAGCTTGGGAGTCCCTCACATTAAAATAGATGAGTGGAAAGGAGTGATAAAAATATGTCACTTATTTTCCACTTTTCATAGCTTAAGCATGGTCAAAACTGAGACCGGAGCACCATCATGTCAGAGTCTATTGTATAGAATTTTTATTTACTTTATCATTTTTTGTTGGTTGTGGGGCTAGAGCCTAGAGGCTGAGTGCTGTCCCTGAGCCCTTTTGCTTAAGGCTAGCACTCTACCACTGTGAGCCACAACTGCACTGTCGGTTTTTGAGTCGTTAATTGGAGATAAGATTCTCACTGAGAGTTTTCTGTCTGGGCTGGCTTTGAACTGTGATCCTCACATTTCAGCCCCCTGAGTAGCTAGAATTATAGAAGTGAGCCACTGGCACCCACCTAGTACAGGATTTTTAAAAGAAGAATTTGAAACCTGTGTGTGATAGCACCACCCTGTAATCCTAGCTACCAAGGAGACTGAGACAGGAAGACGGTGAGTTTGAAGCTATCCTGGGCAACACAATGAGGCCTATCTGATAGAGTAACCTATCTGATAGAGTAATGAGAATTAACTGCATTTTTTCAAAAGCCATTTGAAAAACAGTATTTGCTTCTTCCCACAGATAATAATTGCTGTGAGCCAGCTGATAGCTGACGTAGCACTAAGCGGAGGATCAAGATTTCAGGAGTCTTTGTTCATTATCAATAATTTTGCAAATAGTGACAGACCAATGAAGGTATGTTCTCACTTTAATAAATTAGAACCACTGTGCTAGGGATGTATGTAAGTCAGTGGTAGAATTTATGCTTAACCTACACAAGACTGGATTTGATCATCAGCACCAAAACAAGTAACTCTCACTCGCAGGGAAGTTTATATTCTTAGAGTTAGACCATCATTAGATTCCCATTTTTTTGTATAGACTATATAGAATGGGAGCTTCATGAGTTGAGGTCCTTGTGATGTATACTAACCACTAGATATCTAGTAACTATAATACTGCCTGGTCCATACAAATATTCAGTGTTAAGTGAATTGATTGGTAAATGGATTTATTGTTATTGGTGTTAGTAGAAACTGAGTCTTTTTGTGGGCTTGATTGCTAAACTTGCTCAGAAAATAAATATATCCTTTCTTGCAAAACAGTTGTTAGCATTTATGACATTGGTTAATTGAACAGTTTGTAATGACAAATATCTCATTAGAATAGTGACGAACTGCCTGACCCATTGCCAAAAGATGAGGCATGGCAAAGAAGGCTTCTACTATTTGTGGGTTTTGAGACTTCGAGAAATCATCTGTTAACTGATTAGTACTTGCTGTAGCTATAGATACTGACAAATCTCAAGTCCAGAGTCATCAGTCTTCTTTTCTTGTGTGTGTGTGTGTGTGTGTGTGTGTGTGTGTGTGTGTGTGTGTTCTGTGCACTGTCCCTGAGCTTTTGTGTTCAAGGCTAGAGCTCTACCACTTGAGCTACAGCTCTACTTCCAGCTGTTTTGGTGGTTAACTGGAGATAAGAGTCTCACAAATTTTCCTGCCCAAACTGGTCTCTAACCTCAATTCTCAGATCTCGGCTGCCTTAGTGGCTAGGCTCACAGGCATAAGCCACCAATGTCTGGCCCAAGGCTCTAATTCTTTTTTTATTTTATTTATTTATATTTTTGTTGGTCATGGGGCTTGAACTCTGGGCCTGGGTGCTGTCCCTCAGCTCTTCAGCTCTGCCACTTGAGCCACAGCGCCATTTCTGGTTTTCTGGTGGTTAATTGGAGATAAGAGTCTCATGGACTTTCCTGCCTGGGCTGGCTTTGCACCATGATCCTGAGATCTCAGCCTCCAGAGTAGCTAGGATTACAGGCATGAGCCACCAGTGCCTAGCAAAACCCTCATTCTTAACCCTGAGCAGCAGCAGTTTGCTGAGAGCAAACCCAGCTCCCCACCCCCAAACTACCGTTCTTCTTCCTTACTGTGCTTAAAACCTACAGCATTGTAAACATGCATTTGATGCGTTTTGGGCTTCATTGCCTCAAGTGCAGATCCTCAGTGATACACGCATACAAGTGAAGAATCCATTGCCAACACAAGACCTTAACTCCCTGGGAAATGACTTATTCCTTTTCTTGGGAAAGGTCATATTCCAGCATATTTGATGATATTGTATAAAATCTGAAAAAAATTAAAAGCTCATAGTCACAGCATACTTGATGTTTGAGACATGTAGAATCTATGTACCACAAAAATATTCCCATAGGAATGTTGTTTGCACTGAGAAAAACAGTAATGCCAGCTGTTCACATGCTGGGAAAGTTTCTTTTTGGGCCAGTTCTATTGGTTCCCCAGGGAAATCAATAGCTAAACCCAATAGTGTAGAAACAATATATACTATTTATGCTCTTTTATTTACAGTCCTTTTTTTTGTCAGTCGTGGGGCTTGAACTCTGGGCCTGGGCTCTGTCCTGGACCTCTTCAGCTTAAGGCTAGTGCTCTACCACTTGAGCCACAGTGCCACTTCCAGTTTTCTGAGTGGTTTATTGGAGATAAGAGTCTCACAGACTTTCCTGCCCCGGCTGCCTTTGAACCTTGATCCTTAGATCTCAGCCTCCTGAGTAGCTAGGATTACAGGCCTGTTACCCTCCTTAATATCATGACAAATTAGCAAATTTCTCTAAGAAAGCAGGGTTTGTGTTGGATTTTCTTAATAGGGAATCTTTCTTTTCCTTGACTAATTTCTGAAATGACCTAGTTTTATTCTGTGAAGGCCAACACTACCAATGAACACCATTACAACAAAGGATTCCTTCCACTAATAAATGGAATTTCTAGTAAGAAGAAGGGACTTATAAGCAAGTACTTATGGCTCACACCTGTAATCCTAGCTATTCAGGGGGCTGAGAACTGAGGATCACAGTTCAAAGCTAGCAGGAAAGTCCATCTCCAATTAAACACCAAAATAGCCAGAGGTGGAGCTGTGGTTCAAGTGGTAGAGCAATAGCCTTGCACAAAAAAGCTTAGGGACAGTGCCCTGGCCATGAGTTCATGTCCCAGGACTGGCACCAAAAATGGGGGGGGAATAATGTGTGTATAATAATTATTTTTTGGTAATATGAAATTTGAACTGAAAGCTTTGAGCTTGCTAGGCACTGACTACTGCTTAAACCTACCACCAGCCCTTTTTGCATTAGTTATTTTGGAGCTAGGATCTCAAGTTTATGCCTAGGCCTGCACAGACCACAATCCTCCTGTTTGTGCTTTTCACATAGCTGGGATGACAGGCATGTACCACTGTACTCAGCTGTTTATTGCATGAGAACGGAGGCCTCACAAAATTTTACTGCTCCTGGCCTCTAACCATAATCTTCCCAATCTCCACCTGCCTATAGCTAGGATTACAACCATGAGCCACCATGCTCAACTAATAATTGTTACTTTTAATGGGTGCTGATGGCTCACACCTGTAATCCTAGCTACTCAAGAGACTAAGCAAAGACAGAGCTGTGTAACCTTCTGTTCTTGAGACTGAAAGCCCTTTGAGAGATTGTTAATCTCTACCTCTTTATCATGTGCTATAATTCATGATCTCTCATTGGTGGAAATAGAGAATATTGCAGTGTGAGTTGAACTTGGTGTGTGTCATAGACAGTAGATGGGGTAAGTATCCTCGTCAGTTTGGAAAAGTGGCTGAAGAGTATTGGCTCTAGAGCCAGACTGCCTGGGTATAAGTACTGTTTCTGTGGCTTCCCAAATGTGAGACTTTAGCCTATTCTGTGCCTCAATTTTCCTACTGCTAATATAGTGAAAGCGCTTAACTTATAGGGTTGTAAAAATTGAAGCATGTAGTTGGGTTCTGATAGTTCACACCAGTAATCCTGTAATCAGGAGGCTGAGGTGTCAGAGTCATGTTTTGAACCTACCTCAGGCAGAAAACTCTTCAAAACTCATCTCCAAAATAACCATCAAAAAAAAATCTAAGCCAGGCAATGGTGGCTCACACCTGTAATCCTAGCTACTCAAGAGACTGAGATCTAAAGATCACGGTTCAAAGACAGCCCTGGCAGAAAAGTCTCTGTGAGACACTTATCTCCATTTAACCACTCAAAAACCAGAAGGGGAGCTATGGCTCAAAGTGGTAGAGCACTAGCCTTGAGCAAAAGAGCTTAGGGACAGTGCCCAAGTCTTGAGTTCAAGTCCGACAACTGATTTTTTAAAAAATCTAGTCTGGAAAAGCAGTTCAAGTGGTAGAGTGCCAGATTTTAGTGAAAGAGACAAGCAAGAACACAAGACCCTGAATTCAAACCATGGTGCCAGCACACATACACAAAATTTAAACATAAAAAGCCCCCAGGCCAGTGCCTGTTACATAGTATGCTATCAAAAGCTTTCAGTTACTGTCATAAGTAAACTAAAAACATGGATTTATTCCCATCACTGTAGACTATAGCTCTCAAGTTCATGCCTTTATGTACTGTGCATATATTGTCATCAAGTTTAGAGCCTGTGACACCTAAAATAGTTATTAAAAATCATTTAGACATGCAATTATAATAGTACCAAGAACTGTAACAAGAAGCAGAGAAATTCATATATTCCAAGGATTTGATGCTGAACCTTAGATTGTACCAATAATACTGTTAAATGTATAATTTTTTTGTTTTTTGTTTTTTTGATAGGCAACTGCTTTTCCCACAGAAGTCAAAGACTTGACCAAGAGGATCCGTACTGTTCTTATGGCCACTGCCCAAATGAAAGAGCATGAGAAAGATCCCGAGATGTTGATTGACCTCCAGTATAGCTTAGCCAAGTCCTATGCCAGCACGCCGGAGCTCAGGAAAACGTGGCTCGACAGCATGGCCAAGATTCATGTAAAAAATGGAGATTTTTCAGAGGTGACTACTTAATGTTTTGTTCTAAGCATGTCCCTTCCAGACCCCCTGCATACATTCTAACACTTGTTTCTTTGTTATCCATTTTTAGGCCGCAATGTGTTATGTTCATGTAGCAGCTCTGGTTGCAGAATTTCTTCACCGAAAGAGTAAGTTACTTCTGTTCTGAAATGACAAGAAGCTCAATTGGCATAATCATTTTTATCTCTGTAGCTTGTAAATCATGGAATTGAGCTCTGAAAAATATGTTCACCTTCAGCCTTATTCAGTGGAATACAGAAGTTGTTATAAAAAAACAACAACAAAAGAGGAGATTGTTCATTTTAGCTTCTGCTTACAAGAATAAGTTAAATAGTACAGGGCTGGGCCTGATGCCCAGTGTTTATTTTCCAAGACTGTCTTTCTGGAAGATGGCCACAAATTAAATTCTTGTTAGGGCTCATGAGAAACTCTAGATAATACAGATTTATTTTCCCCTTTCCCTCCTTAACTTTACCAACTACTGTCCACAAACTAGGTGTCTACTGTCACTTTCAGTTCAGTGACACCTGGGTGTGTCATATTAAGTATATTAAGATCCAGCATGCCTAGATTCCTGATTGGCCATTCTTTTTTTAATTAATTAGTTTATTTATTTTGTCCATCATGGGGCTTGATCTCAGGGATTTGGCATTGTTCTTGAGCTCTTTTGCTCATGGCTAGCAGTCTACCACTTTGGGCCACAGCTCCACTTTTGGTTTTCTAGTAGTTAATTGGAGATATGTCTCAGAGTTGCCTGACCCAGCTGGTTTTGAACTGTAATCTTCAAATCTCAGCCACCTGAGTAGCTAAGATTACAGCGCCCAGCCCTGATTGGCCATTCTTAAATCAGGAATCTTCCTTAAAGTTTCCCTTTCCCAAAACAGTATTTTTTACTTCTGTAACTACTCAAGCAGTAAAACAGCTGAATTTGTTTTCAAAATGATTGGCAACGGAATTTGCAGTGAAGACATCTGCCACATAGGATGAGGGAAAATGTGGCTGCTGGCCTGTACAAAATCATTTGGTACATGATAGGACAGATACTGTGGCAGCAGTCTCTGTTCATATTGATAATTTTGTATGGCCTATGAATGATTGTTAATAATATCCAAATGGCCCATTAGAGGAAAAAATAGTTTGCCTGCTCTTGAGAATTGCTTATTAACAAGTACACTCATTCTATCAGTGTGTAAGCTACTTGCAAATAACATCAAGACAAAGAGATGATAACTTGTAGGAATCATATTACTCTGGCTTTGGCTATGGAAATAAAATCTTGTTTTGTTTTGCTTGATTTTCTAATTCCTGCAGTTATCTTTGTTTTCACGTTTAGGGTTCAGTGTTCAGTTCTTTCATATAGTAACAACCATTTGGGTAATCTTTTTCTAAAAGATGTTCTTCCCAAAAGCAATATCATGATTAAAATGTAGACTAATTTTACACTTATTTTTTCTTGTTTTTTTTTTTCTTTTTTCTTTTAGAGACAGGGTCTTTCTCTGTAGCCTGTGCTGACCTGAAACTCACTACGTTATCCTCAAACTTGCAATTCTCCTGAGTCACCTCCTCAGTGCTGAGATTACAATGGGCACTACCATGCCTGGTTCTCATTTACTATGTACTTGAAATTAGTATACACAAGTTGTGTGAAATTAGTATAGTGTAGGGTTTTCCCCGTTTTAGTACATGCAGCTACTCTAACCTCCAAACTCTGACAAGTCTTAATAAATGAAAATAGTATTTCTAAGTAGTCATTTAATTATTTCATGTCAAAGTTTTCTAAAATGTATCCTTCATCAAACTCAACTATTATTAGCAAGCAAAAAATATTTTGCATTTTTTTAAAAAAGCAATGTTATATGTAAGAGAAATTTTCAATATTTATTTATATAAGTACTATCCTTTTATGTATGTGCTGGTCCTAGGGCTTGAACTCAGGACCGAGTTTCTGTCCCTGCTTTTTTGTTCACAGTGTTCTACCACTTGAGCTACAGCTCCACTTCTTGTTTTTTTTGCTGGTTAATTAAATAGTCTCAAGAACATTCCTGCTTTGCCTAGCTTCAAAGCGTGATCCTCATATCTCGGTCTCCTTAGTAGGTAGGATTACAGGTGTGAGCCAACAGCACAGGATTTAGTACCATCTGTTTTCAAACCTGGAAAATTCTACTTGCATAAGCTGGAAAATCTAGTTATTCTAAAAAATAACAGTAAAATCCTCAGAGTTTTTCCCGCTAAGCTTCAATGATTCAAAGATTTCAAAAACCTTCTTTTGTTAATTAGCTGATTAAAACATGAAAGCTATACCAAGGTAGATTACTCATCAAAAACACAAGTTAAAATTTAATGTTAACCTGCTTCCAGTCTGAGAACTTCATAATCTAATATTAGTGGCTGTAAAACTAACTTACATAACAAAGATCATTGGACAACTGTAGAACCTTTGTTTCCTATCATTACGTGTACTTTGAAAAATACCAGAAGATTCTTCAAAAATGCTATTAGCCCTGCCGGGTGCCATTGAGCCACATCTATAATCCTAGCTACTCAGGAAGCTGAGATCTGAGGATCGTGGTTCAAAGCTAGCCTGGGTAGGAAAGTCTGTGAGATTCTTACCTCCAATTAATCAACAAAAAGCCAGAAATTGAGCTGGGGCTCAACCTTGAGTGAAAAAAAAAGCTCAGGGACAGTGTCCCAGCCCTGAGTTCAAGCCCCAGGACCAGTCTGGAAAAAGAAAAAAAGCACCAATGGCTCATGCCTACAATCCTACTCAGGAGGCTAAGATCTGAGGAATGTAGTTCAAAGGGAGCAGCCTGGGAAGGAAAGTCAGTGAGATTCCTATCTCCACTAAACTACAAGAAAGTTACAAGTGGAGCTGTAGCTCAAGCGGTAGAACTCTAGACTGGATCACATAAGGTCACAGACAACACCCAGGTCCTGTGTTCAAATCTTAGGAATGGCTTTAAAAAATGTTGTTAGCCTCATCTGACCTCAGGCACAAAGGATAAATTTTATCTTCTCCCCTAAAATCATAGCATTCCAGAAGACCCAGGCTTTATAGGGCAACCTTGTGGCTTATTTCCAAAGGTGAGGAACACCTGGTCTGAGAGTGCAGTAAGGCCTGAAAAACCATTTGGTACCTGACAAATAGACATGCTTCTTCTATTCTTCTCAGCTCCCTGTAGCCATCTTCTTGTATTGATAATTTTGCATGGCCCTCAAATGATATAAATATCCAAATGACCCTTGGCAGAAAAGAGGTTCACCACTCCTGGTAGATACTTGCTTGACCCTAACACTTTGGTTCACAATCCTACTGCAACACTTGGAACTTGAGTTTATTTTCCACCCCCTGAGGGACCAGCTGTCAGCAGTTGTTTAATTCTATCTTGGGCAAGTTAATTTATTTATTAGTAAACTTCTTTAGCAATAATAACTCATTTAGGGCTGGGAAGGTGGCTCAGTAGTAAGAGCGCTTGCCTTGCATGCCTGAGGCCCTGGGTTCGATTCCCAGCACCACATAAGCAAAAAGAAAAAAAGCCGGAAGTGGCGCTGTGGCTCAAGTGGTAGAGCACTAGCCTTGAGCTGAAGAGCTGAGGGACAGCGCCCAGACCCAGAGTTCAGGCCCCACAACTGGATCC